CTTGCTGTCTCTCTCTCTCTCTCATAAATAAATCAATCTTAAAAAAAAAAAACCAAAAAAACTAATGGCAGTGTTACTGCTTCCATGATGTCATTCATTCCCTAGAAGTTTGGTTTTCATTCCTTTGGATTTAGATGTGGAGAGAAAAGCCAAAGCACTGTAATACTTTTCAAAGAATGGTCACATTTGTTTAAAGACCCACAGTGAACACCTGCTCACCTATGTGATACTGGTACATTGTATCCAGGGCTCCTGTGGGAGTCATCCCTCCAAAGATATACAGGTGTTTCCCCACAACCACAGCTGAGTGGGCAGCACAGCCTGTGGGAGATGACCCAGTGGGACTTAGCTTCTGCCACTTCATGTCACCTGCCAAGAGAAAGAGAGCAGGTACAATGTGACCTAGAATATGGACTCCCACCTTACCTGTCAGACTCCTGCAGTGTGCAAACCAATCACGGAAGGTCATTCGCTAAGCACTCTGGGAGGTAATACAGCAAGGTTTAATGGGCACAGAAATCACTTAGGGGAGCTTCAAATTCTGTTTGGGTGTCCAGGGAGGGAGGAGGACCTCAGTAGTTGATAGTTTTAGCGAGCATCTCAGGTGATTCTGATATAAGCGGTCTTTGGAGCACACTGAATAATAGGATATTATCTTTGGTGACTGTCACCATTTACTAGTTTGGAGCCTGGAAGGAGTTGAGTTCCATGTCTGTGTGTGCACGTTTTAAATACTAGCAGTTTCTTAGAAAGCAGCACCTTTATGAGTGCTGGCTAGGCACTTTAAAGATTTTGCTTGCTCACAACAGTCCTCTGAAACTGCTATTACTTCTGCCTACTCTCTTTTTACTGGTGAAGAAACGAATCAAAGAGGGAGATACTTGTCCAAGATCTCACAGCCAGCAAGAGGCACAGCTAGCCTGATACTCGGGTCTGATGCCAGAACCTGTGTTCTCCACACTGTAAGGTGCTACCTCAAGCACCTGCTCCCAACCTATTTCTGCAAGGATATTTGCATCTTTTCAAACAAGCATTGAAATGAGGCATGATATTATTGGATTTTAGGTTTAGAGAATTACCAGGGTAGGAAAGGAAGAGAAATAGCCAGAAAGTAGTTCCTCAGCTGAAGGAGTAGGACTTTCTTTTTTAAAATACGCATTAAGGAGCGCCTGGGTGGCTCAGTTGTTAAGTGTCTGCCTTCAGCTCAGGTCATAATTCCAGGGTCCTGGAATCGAGCCCCGAATCAGGCTCCCTGCTCCGCAGGAAGCCTGCTTCTCCCTCTCCCACTCCCCCTGCTTGTGTTCCCTCTCTTGCTGTGTCTCTGTCAAATAAATAAATAAAATCTTAAAAAAAATATATGCCTTAAAACCCCAGTTGAGGGGCACCCAGGTGGCCCAGTCTATTAGTATCTGCCTTTGGCTCAGGTCATGATCCCAGCGTCCTGGGATCAAGCCCTGTGTCTGGGTCCCTGCTCAGCAGGGAGCCTGCTTCTCCCTCTCCCTCTGCCCCTCCCCCCCCGCTCGTGCTCTCTCTCTCTCTCTCTGTCGAATAAATAAAGTCTTTTAAAAAAATCAATAAATAATTTAAAAATAAAATCCCAGTTGACTGCTGCAAGGAACACTTCTGTGAAGATATTTTCCAACTGTCAATTCAAGGCAGGGGACCAGCATCTCAGAGTTGGAAGGGAGATCACCCAACCTAGCCAAAACAAGAATCCCAGCCAGTGTCACCTAGCCTCAGATGTCACCAAGCCAGAGAATCCATTGTTGGGCAAGGTAGCCCAATACACCACATAGCACTTCTTGTGCCTTCTGCCCACTGTTCCAATTCTTGTAGTCTAAAGTAACGCAAAAGATGTTCATTTGTTTGTCCATTCAAGATACACACTCATCACCCTCAATCTACCAGACACTGTGTTAAGTGCTGGAAATAAACTGGGAAACAAAAGAGACATAGCCCCTGCCCTAAGGAATCTCACAGTCTGAAAGAATGACCCAGAATAAGCCAAGGATCTCTATGACACATCAGCCCTTTAGACCCTTAGAGACAATTCTCATGTTCTCCCTAACTTTCCTCTTCCTGGGGTGTGTGTGTGTGTGTGTGTGTGTTTAAGATTTATTTATTTGAGAGAGAGAGGGAGAGCACAGAGGGAGAAGCAGACTCCCCGCTGAGCAGAGAGCCCCATGTGGGACTCAATCCCAGGACCCTGAGATCATGACCTGAGCCGAAGGCAGATGCTTAACCAACTGAGCCACTGAGGCACCCTTCTTCCTGGTGTTTTCAACCATTTAGCGTGGCAATTCTGGTCACCAACCTCCAGACACACTCGAAGTTGTCCATGCCCCTCATGGGCATAAGGTTAATCGTTAATGTCAGCCAGGGAATCCAGTCAGGGAATACAAAGCATAATGAATTTTAATGAAATAGTAGGGTTGTTGGAAGCATAAGAGATAATTAATGGCTGTGTATATAGCAAGTACTCAGAAAGGGATTGCTTTCATTGGTATTATTATTATTATTCAGGCCACATTTGACAGAAATCTAGCCAAGATTCTGCTGGCTGGCCAAGGTATCCATACTTATGAGCAAAGCTGTATTCTATCAAAGATATTTTATTTAATTTTAAGCGGACAAGCCCCCATGCCCTCTACCCTACTTACTTATATCAATGCAATGGAGATCATCATAGAATTTGTCCCCTGCCAAGCCTCCATGGATGAAGAGCTTTGTCCCTGCTGCCACCATTACATGACCATGCCGGGGGGATGGAGGTTTGCCAAGTGTCTCTGGCTGTGACCAGGTCAGAGTGTCTAGAAAAGTAAATTCATTGACATCTGATGAAAAAGCTAGGAAGAACATGAGAAACAGACCCAAGCTTCATTTCCCAGCAAGTAGAGATGCTCAAAGCCGAAAGTGACCTTGGGGTCATTCACTCCAACGTGCCAACCCAATCCGGGCCTCCCTTCTCCTACAGCCTGTACAGCCTCTGCCTGAACACTTCCAGGGCTGGAGAATTCACTACCTAACATGCCTGTCCCTTCTACAGGGCATTAGGGAACTATTCCTTGCTTTGACCTGGAACTGCCCCAGAGTTCAAAAGAATGAGTGCTTCTTCCCTGACAGGCCTTCAGAGTCTTCCTTTTTCAAGACAGTATCTTTAATTGATTTGCTGGAAGCATGGGGGAAAAAAAGACTACTTTGGAAGTTAGCAGGGCCTACCAAAGTGGCAGTATAGGGTGAGAGTTAGAACACGGGGCATGGAGTTAAAACTGGCTCATTTCACTGAATAACTTTGTGGCCTTGCACCAGTGAATTCCTTAAGCTCTAGTTTTTACAGTTGTAAAATGGGGATAAAGATACTACCTAGCTCTCAGGGTTAAAGTATGGATTAAATGAGATGAGGTACATAAGGCACAGGCTCAGAGGAAGTACTTAGTACATGAAAGGTTGTGTTAGAATTACTGTTTGTGGCATGCCTGAAGGTTGTGCATGGAGCCCCACTGTTCAAAGGAATACAGTTTGAAATAATCTGAAAAAGGTTTATGCACAAACACATTCATCACAGCATTGTTTGTAATAGAGAAGAACTGAAAATAGCTTCAGTGCACCAACAGGTGAATGGTTGTTATTGCTACAGTCAAGATAGAATACTATGTATTTATTAAAAATGTTGATAATTGAGGCACCTGGCTGGCTCAGTCAATAGTGCATGTGACTCTTAATCTCAGGGTCAGTTCAAGCCCTACATTGGTCGTGGAGCCTACTTAATACAAACAAAGAAATAAAAATATTGAAGACTGCACGATCACAGGGGAAGTGCTTAAGTGAAAAATACAGGATACAACTATTACATGTAGAATTATCTCTATTTTTAAAGACTTTATTTATTTTATTAAGTAAACTCTACCCCCAATGAGTGCCATGCTCTACCAACTGAGCCAGCCAGGTGCCCCATCTCTGCTATTAAAAAAAAAAAAAGATTGGATGGAAATACACTGAGATGTTAATACTCTGGGAGTGATAGTATTTTATATATATATATATATATGTATATGTATATATATATATACATTTTCTTCCTCATTCCTTAGAGTTTCATGTATTCAAAACCAACATTATTTAACATTTTAAAAACTGCCTTAAAAGATTTGCAAAGTCCGTTCTTTCAGGAAAGAGAAAAGTCATACTGTGATGTGTCTTCATTCTTCCAATTTTACTTTGTAAGTTTAAAATTTTGCTTATTGCATCTTCTCAAAAAAAGGGCTGCATCTCTTGTGAAAAACACACGTGAAAACTATTTTTGTCACGTTATTTGTAAATTGTTATTCATAAATGCCTACTAGTAAGAGGAAGAAATGCAAATAAATGCTCCTTACACAAAATCCTGGCAAGAGGTCTCATAATTCTAAATGTTTGCGTCATTTTCATCCAGTAATTCCACTCCATCTCCTCCATATAAATGTTTGTAATACATACAAAAATTAATGTATATGTTCACTGTAACACTGTCAGCAAAAAGTGAGTCAGTAGGAAAATGAATGAATGAATGAGTGAATAAGGAATACCCACAGGATATGCTCTGCAAGGGAATTGGTACTGACTTAGAAGACATCCATGATCTGTTATTAAACAGAGGGATCATTAACAGTGCATATTCCTGAGGTGCTCCCTATATGCCAGGTACTGTGCTATGCACTATATCACATTATCTCATTTAATCTTTCCAGCTCTTTTTAGTAGGCACTATTACTATCTCTATTTTGCAGATCAGCAAACTAAGACCTAGAGACTAATTAACTAATCAAAAGTAATCCAGAAAGTATGTGTCAGATCTGGTCCTGCATCCAGGCTAGGTGGCTTCGAAATACATGCTTTCGACTCCTGAGATTTAGCCTCACCCCTGCATAAGTAAGCTGTAGAACGGTATTTATGATCTGATCCCATGTATGTGTTTTAAGGCTTCTATATCATTTCAAAATCCACAGAAAATTCATAAATGTCCATTTACACATATATGTATGATTTAGAAATGCATAGGCAAGTCTGGAAGGAGACGTCAGGAACTGCTAAGAGTTTTTCCCTCTGGGGCGCCTGGGTGGGTCAGATGGTTAAGCATCTGCCTTCGGCTCAGGTCATGGTCCCGGGGTCCTGGGATCGAGTCCCGCATCGGGCTCTTGGGAGCCTGCTTCTCTCTCTCTCTCTCTCTCTCTCCCCCTCTCTGTCGCTCATGAATAAATAAAAATAAAATCTTTAAAAAAAAAAAAAAAGAGTTTTTCCCTCTGTTTGGGGCGTGGGAAGGAAAGGCTAAAGGGGAAACTTTCACTTTTTTTCCTTTCTAAATTACACTCTTTAAATATTTTAAATTGATCATTTATACCTTTTTAAATGCACATGTCGCTGTGGGAGGAACATATTAGCTAAGGGACGTGTTGAAGACATCTACAAGTGAGACACTCAGACAGAGCGTCATTTTCTATCCCCTGCCTCCTACATCAGGTAAGCCGCAGGCTGGGGTGGCTCTGACCTGGTTAAGTGGCAGCCCCAAGGGGCCCGCCAGTCCATACTTGCGTCAAACACATGCAGCTTCACATCCTGCACAGGCTGGGCACCTCTCTCTCCGCCCCCAAAGACATACAGCTGGTTTCCAATGGCTGCAGAGGATGTGTGGAATGTCCTTGGAGATGGTGGAGGGCTGATCACCTCTGGCATTGTCCAAGTCCTCGTTTCTGGTCCAGAGAGAGAAGGCAGGCACCTAAAATATCCAGGCTGATGGACCTCTGATCTTGACTCTGAGGCTAGGCAGGGTTACCTTCCACACCCCCAACCCCAACGGGGACAGCAGAGGTCCAGGTAGGTAGGGTTCTTGTGCCAGCGAAGTCAAGGCGGGGTAGCAGGGGATGCTGAGAATTTTCCCAGATTGAGTCAAATCCCCAAGATTGAAAAGTCACACACACAATTGAGAATGAGGTCGATTTGTTTTTGGAGATCTTCCTTCAAACATCCTCTCTGAACGCTCTTCTCCTTTGCTCACTTCCCTGCCCTGGGCCCATTCAGAGGAGCCCAGCACCTGCTAAAATTCTCCCCACTAGAGGCTAGAATTAAATGTGCCCAATTTCCCAGAACACGTGGCCATTAAAAGAAAATAGACAAAGCAATCACAGTGTCAGCAGTAGTAATAATAGCTCCTTCTAAATAGTACATACTAAGTAAATATTAGTTTCTCCATTTTACAGATAAGGGAACTGAAGCAGAGACAGATGAAGTCATTTGTTTAAAGTGACATGGCTAGGGACGCCTGGCTGCCTCAGTCGGTGGAGTGTGCAACTCTTGATCTTGGGGTTGTGAATTTGAGTGCCACGCTGGATGTAGAGATTTACTTAAAAAATAAAATCTTAAATAAAATAAAATAAAATAAAATAAAATAAAATAAAATAAAATAAAATAAAATGACATGGCTAATAAATGGCTGAGTTGGGATTCAGATTCCATTTGGATAACACCAAGATCTATGTATTTTCCACTCTTCTGACTTGAGAATAAAATTTAGCCACCTGGGAGAGGTGCAAGGAAGCTCCTCTCTTTTTAGAATACAGCATGAGTTTTATAGAAACAGATGCATTAATCAAGCACCTTCCTTGTGCAGAATCACTGTCCTTAGCATTCTGTCTGTCATCCCCACTTAACTCTAGGAGGTGGCTGGAAAGCACCTCATTTTGCAGATGAGGGAACTGAAGCTCAGAAAATTTAAATCCTTCCCCCCAGGTCACAGCGCTTGTGAGTAGCAGAGCAGAGGTTTGAACTCAGATCTGTCAAGACTCCCACACTCGCGCCACCACCACAGCACACCAGGAATTATTTCTTGTCTGGGAAATTCTGTGCCTTTTGTAAAGGTCTTCATTCAGCATATACAGAGTGCCACAGAAAGCATCTGTAATATGTATGGGACTCAAACATGAACCTCGAGACGAAACAAGTCTCAGCCTATAACCAAAGCAAAATGTAATTATCTCTAGATAATCTTGGGGAGCTTTTGAATCTTAAGGGGAGTTAGAGGGTGCACAACCTCCGGGATCAGAAGATCCTGAGATTGTGTCGCTCCCAAGTCAAAACTCTAGCACAAATAATCACAAAGGAGTCCTAAGCCATTTGACAAACTGGCCTTAGTAACAAAATAGCTAACGATTCACATTTTTCCTATTTCTCGGGCATGGTGTCAAATTATACTTCCTAGGAGAGGAAAGGGATCTGGTAGAAAATCAACTCCTCTGACAGAGGCTTCCCAAATTCTCTGTATTTTATTCAAATGGATGCCATCATTGAAAATCAACAGACCAGGGATCCAGAACTGATTTCCATCTGCCAAACCATAGCTACATCAACCACAACCACAATTATCGAGCATTAACTGTGTGCTAGGCATTGAGTAAATTTAAATCCTTGCCAAACTTAACAAGGTAAGAACTATGACTATTACAATGTGATGGAAGACCAACTGTTTGCAAACAACCATCTGATTGAGAGAGCACTGGGCAAGAGCTGACTGTCATGTGAAAAATGTCCAGGTTGCTAATCGTTAACAAAATGTATATTTAAATAAATAGATACAAATTTGCTTGGTCTATCAAATCAGCAGTGTTTAAAAATGATAAATTAAGTGGTGTCTGGCTGGCTCAGTCAGGTGGACCATGCAACTCTTGGATCTCAGGGTTGTGAGGTCAAGCCCCACATTGGGCACAGAGATTACTTAAAAACAAAATCTTGGAGCACCTGGATGGCTCAGTTGGTTAAGCATCCGACTCTTGATTTCAGCTCAGGTCTTGATCTCAGGGTTGTGAGTTCAAGCCCATGTGAGTTTGAGCCCCATGTTCAAGCCCCCGGTTGTGAGTTCAAGCCCCATTAAAATTAATAAATAAAATGTAAAAAAAAGACAAATTCAGTGCCAGTCAGGAGTGAAAATGCACTATTGATCATAGCTGGAGAGAGGCACAGTTGGAAAATTCTGGAGAGCAATTGGGTAGCATGTATCCAAAGTTTTTTAGTTCTGGGTATGAATTCTAAGCAAATAATTGTCAATGACTTCTGAACAAAGATGTTCACACTTTTGTTATTTATAATGGCAAAAATCTGAAAACAAACTAAATTATGGTATTATCACAAAATGGCGTATCATGCAGCCATTAAAAGTGATGTTAAAGCAAAGTTAATAGGAAACCATTTCTACAGTAATTATGAAATTCAAAGGAAAAAGGTACAATAGTGTAGGGGTGAAAAAGTATGAACTCAGACTTACAGAAATGCAGAGAACTAAAAGAAAGGAAGTATACAGAGAGGTTATCAGTAGCCTGAATGTCACCGGATCGTGGATGTCTTTCGTCCACTTTACGCTTTTCAAATATTTTACAATGAATTATGTTTATAAAGAGAAAACAACAAAAAAAATTTTAACTACAATTTTTAACAAAAAGACAAGTCCACCTCCCATGGTGGTTCAGGAACATCCTCTCAGGAGAGATGTTCCTAAACTGCTTCGTCTGTGATAAAACTGCCAGTGACACTAGGCAGGAACTTTGCACTGTTTGGCTAAAAGAAACATAAAAGGAGGATCTAGGTCAGGGTTTCTTAACTTTGGCACTACCGGCATTTGAGCCTAGATAATTCGCTATTATGGGGGGCTGTCCTATGTGTTACAGGATGGATAGCAGCATCTCTGGCCTCGGCCCACTAGACGCCAGTAGCAATCCCCCAAGCCCTGAGCTTGATCACCAAAAATGTGTCCAAACGTGGCCAAATGTCCCCTGGGGGACACAATTGCCCCCACTTGGGACCCCCTGATCTAGGTGACAGGTTCTAGGCTGGTTTAGTCACTGACTCCCTGGTGACTTTAGGAAACTCACTTCCCCTGGACTTGGGTCGCCTTGGCATAGCTGTTCTCTGAAGTTTCTTCTAGCTTTGGCTTTTAAGAAGTTGATAATTGGACATGTTATGAGGTGTGGGGGGTGGGGGCGGGGTGGGGATGTAATTCTGTTATTTTCATATTCCTCCAGAAGTTAAAATTCCTATTTTCAGGCACCTGGGTGGCTTAGTCAGTTAACCGTCCACCTTCGGCTCGGGTCATGATCTCAGGGTCCTGGGATCGAGCCCCATATCGGGCTCCCTGCTCAGTGGGGGGGTCTGCTTCTCCCTCTCTCTCTCTAGGTCTCTCCCCCACTCATGCTCTCTTGCTCTCTCAAATAAATAAAATCCTTAAAAAAATTAAAAAATAAAAATTCCTATTTTCTATGAGGTCAGCAAAGTTAAATGAATTATTCAGGACAATCCAAATGAGTTTTGCTCCAGGAAATGGAATCGGATTTCTTTCTTTATTTAGGTAAATGAAAATAACTTTTGGCTACTTACCAGGATTCAGAACTTGTAGGCAATTTCGATTTCCTGACTGGTCAGCACCTCCAAACACCCAGATGGTATGAGGTGCACAAGAGGGAATGAAGCTGGCATGCTCGTAACGGGGCAAAAGGCCCTCCGCGGCAGCCAAATCCCACCGGTGTGTTCCTAGAAGACATTTCACTCAGCCCCTGCAGTGGAGCTGCCAACTGCTTCTATCAGTTGACAGCCTTGGGGGACAGTAGTGAGGAGAAAAGGGTCCAAGGCATAAGTGAACAACCATCAGGTCACTAACAGGGAATATGGTCAAATTCTAAAAAGTTCTATAATAGAACTTCAGGGGCTGTCTGCCTAGTCCAGAAACCCTCCTCTAGGGAAACTGTCCCCGTCCTCCCAACCACGGGGGTAGAGATCACAGAAGACCTATTTGTACTACAACACCTTGACTTTGATTGGGTCAAAGGTAGTCACTTGACCCAAAATGGGTCAATCAGATCCTCCTTCCAGAGAAGTTGGAATTCAAACAGATTTCTGGATTTCTTCTATCATGTGTGGAGAAGCAGCTAAAGCCAAAGTATGAAGAAGAGAAAAGAAACATCTACATAAAGAAGCAGATCTCCCCAGAGAGAGTGAGGGAGAAAGTAGATGGTTTCTGATGGCTTTCCAATTCCTATTTCTGCTCTTTCCTGAGGCTAGGCTGTATTTCCTATGTTTGGATTCTTCCTTTTTTTTTTTTTTTTTGCTAGTTTAAGAGAGTTTCTATTACCTGCAACTAAACAATTTCTGGCTAAAACAGGTTCATAAATGCCAAGGGGAGTAAGCTATTATCCCCATTTTACAGGACACTGAAGCCCAGATAGTTTAGACAGGTTAGCCAGGGTCCCAAAGCTAGTACTAGGTCCCACCAAAGATGCACATGAACTAGACAGTGAGTTTCTTGAGGGCTGGAAGAGATTTCACTTGCCTTTGATTTCCTACTGCCGGGTGTAGAAATTCAAATGCCTATGTAGGAGTGAATGTGGCAAATTGGGGGATGAGAACCCCACTGAGAGGCGGCATCTCTACTGTTGTCATGTAGACATGCAGGCCTACTGATGTCAGATCTCCCAAAATTATCAGGAGAAGCCAAACCATTTCCATTTTTATATGTAGATCCTTGCACATTCAGTTGGTGAACAACTTAGATTAAAACGATAACAGCAACGTGACATGGACCTAACAAAAGGTATATGTGGGCCACTGGTTTTCTTCAGCCCATGTTGTATAGCACAGAGTGGTCACCATTCATTCCTTCTTCATTCATTCATTCATTCATCCATCCATGTATCCACCTAAATACTTAAAAAGCACCTACTCTGGGCACCTGGGTGGCTCAGATGGTTAAGCGTCTGCCTTCGGCTCAGGTCATGATCCCAGAGTCCTGGGATCGAGTCCCGCATTGGGCTCCCTGCTCCTTGGGAGCCTTGCTTCTCCCTCTCCCTCTGCCTCTGCCTCTCTCTCTCTCTCTGTCTCTCATGAATACATAAATAAAATCTTTAAAAAAAAAAAAAAGCACCTACTCTGGGGGCACCTGGGTGGCTCAGTGGGTTAAGCATCTGACTCTTGATTTTGGCTCAGGTCATGATCTCAAGGACAGGAGACTGGGCTCCGAGTGGGGCTCTGCGCTCAGAGCACGGAGCCTTCTTAAAGAATCTTTCCTGCCCTCTCTCTCCGCAACCCCCTTCTGTTTGTGCCCTCACTCACTCTCTCTCTTAAAAAAAAATTTAATTAATTTTTTAAAAAGCACTTACTCCATGCCATGCACTATGGTAGTGGCTGGGGGTACAATGGTGAATAATATAACTATGTTCCTTGTTTCCAAGGAGCTTATACTCTTGTGGGGAAGACAGACAAGATATAATCACATGTGATAAGGGCTGTGAAGGGGGAATGGGAAAGTGAAGAATACTATGGAGATATAGAGGGCGGGTTATGACGTTGTGATTTATATTAATATATACGTTATCTTTGTCAGTTCCAGGCACAGAGCTCTTAAAACCCTTGGAATTTCCCAAATTATATGATTGAAAAAGGTGTCTTATGTAACAAGCTCCTGTCAACCATACCTGGGTTTATGTTTATGGGGGGACTTCCGGAAAGCCCTAAGGATGGAGGCTGGTTGCCAGGGGAACCAACCGTATGATCAGAAGTTTGGGACTTTCAGCCCCAGCCTCCCACCCCCACCTCTGGGAAGGGTAGAGGGGCTATAGGTTGAATCAATCACCAATGGTCAGTAATTTAATCAATCACACCTATGTAAAGAAGCCTCCAAAAAAACCCAGAAGGAGGAGTTTGGAAAGCATCCAGTTGGTAAACACATGGAGGTGCTGGTAGGATGGTGCACCTGTAGAGGATATGGAAGCTCTTTGCCCTTCCCCCATACCTTCCCCTATGCATCTCTTCCATCTGGCTGCTCCTGAGTTATATCATTTTATAATAAACAAGTGATCTAGTAAGTAAACTATTTCCCCAAGTTCTGTGAGCCACTCCAGCAAATTAATGGAACCCGAGAAGGGGATCATGGGAATCTCTGATTTATACTTGGTAGGTCAGAAGCACAGGCAACGAACTGAACTTTTGGGTAGTGTCTGGAGTAGGGAAGGGGTGGGAGAGTCGTATAGGACTGAGCCCTTCACCTGTGGGATCTGATGCTAAGTCCTGGGGGATCTTGTCAGAACTGAATTGCGTTGGAGGACACTCAGCAGGTGCTGCAGAATTGATGTGGGGAAAGATCCCCAGACATTTGGGGGCCAGAAATGAAGTACTGAGACTAGTGTTGAGAGGAGAGTATGAGTAGAGAAGGAACACAGAATGGTTTCTCCTTTCCAATGGTAGTGCCTAAACTAGTCCAGAAGTATCAGGGGAAGCTTCCTGATGGAAGTGATCATTAATCTGAGATCGGAAAGATGAATAGCAGCCAGGTGATAAGGAAAGGGAAGAGCCTTCCAAGCAGACAGAGCAATGTGTACAAAGGCTTGGAGACCAGAGATTCAGACATGTCCAAAGAACTGAAGGATACTCAGTGTAGCAAATGTGGGTTTGGGAGAGCCAAGAAATGAGTTGGGAAAGGCTTGAAACATGGGAGTGACATGGTCAGATTTGTATTTTAGACAATACTCTCCGGCTAGGTATAGAAAATGCACCATCCAGGGGTAAACTTGGAAGCAGTGAGACCAGAGAAGAGGCTGTTGGAATGTCTAATAGAGAAGCAATAATGCTTGGACTGTAGTGGTAGTAGGCAAAATGGACAGACAAGGATGAAGATGGCGACACTTAGGACTTGGTGATTAATTGGATATGTGGATAGAAACAGAGGTCTCTTCCTCTGTCTCCCGGAGGAATATTTGATGAAGGAACAGTTGGATGTCCAGGGCTCTAAACAGACTCTGCATCCCCCAAAAAGAAGATATTGGTTGGGTGGATGTGTTCCAGAGGTCTTCTGAGACCTTAGGGACTTCTCAGTGATGTTCATTTTCTTAGAGGAGAACCCTGCTCTCTGGCCTGAACTGGTGTTCTTACGAATGCTCTGGTCATGTCCAGTAGCACCAGCTCTGCTCTCTGGCCACAGGGCACCCACCCCACTGCTGCTGGTCTTACCCAGATCCATGGTGTGCACATCTGAGAAGCTCCTGTTTGGATCTGCTCCCCCAACAATGAAGACCTTCCCTCTCTTGGCGTCACCGACTGGGGGTAAATATGAACAGCTGTGGCCAACCCGAGCACAGGGGCCATCTCCAGGGGGGGTCAAGGTGTACCTGCCAGAGGGAGGATGTATTCAGGAGACCCAGGCAGCGATGTGTTCTTTCCACTCCTCATGAAATACTCCCCAGATTGAGGGCTCTTATACACACATACACACTAAGTTGTATCCAGCAAAGCGGTATTTTCCCGATTAATAATACTACCTTCCCTTTGCACATAACCTTTGACTTTTCAGTTTTGTCACTACTTTTGTCTCACATTAACCTAACGGGGATGCACTGGACTAGTAACTGTCTCCATTGGGTGGGCAGGGAAACTGACAGCCAGAAAAGTTCAGTGGTGTGTCCTGGCACGAGATGGGAGTCATGAGTATGGTTTGTGAATTCAGGCAGACCAGGCGCAAGCCCCAGGTCAGATGCTTTCGAGATGTGTGACCCTTCAGAAGTCATTTAACCTTTCTAAACCTTCCTTAGTTTCCTCGTTTGTAAAATGAGGATGGCAGTAGGTCTTACCCGGGAAGGGGAAACAAAGGTCTTGTAACAGTGCAGGAAGAGCTCAGTAAATGGTGGCTAGAGCTTCAGGTGCACTCACATAGGAACCTACTGCCCTAACACTCTTTAGCCACTAGCCTGAGAGGCACTGTCAAGTAATATTCTCCAGGATGTATTGATTTTAAGAGCTTTCCCAGATTATTTATAACGCTTGAGTTGATGGAAGCCAGAGCTAGGACTCTGAAAAAATCAAATACAGGATCCATCCATCCCATTCTCTAAAGTTGTTCTGAACACTGACTCTAAAAACATACTTCAAACTTCCTGGTTGGAAAAGAAAATTCTGTAGCTGTTTTTCAGGACCTGTCTCGTTAGACCTCTCTGGCATTTGGTAGTCCTGACTCTTCCTTCTCAAACATTTCTCCTTATCTGGTTCCCCACATCCCTTCCTTTTGGTTCTCCACCCATCTTTCTGGCTGCTCTTTTCTGTTTCCTTGCTCTGACTCCACCCCCACCAGCTGTCCCCTGAGCCTCAGTACCCCTGGATTCTCTTCCCTCCTCTATGTTCGCTTGCCCTATCAAGTTCATCTGCACTGATGGTTTGTTTCAGTTACCACCCACCTATATATTCATCAGTGATTTCCAAGTCCTATTTCTTTTCCAGCTCTCTCTTCTGATAACCAGATTCGCACATCCTATTATCACCTGAATGATTACTAACAATGTACCATGCCTGCTGCTAACTTTGTTACAATCCTGGTTTCCCTTAATCTGCACAAAACCCCTTTGAGGACTATTATCATCACCTGCTTTTTACAACTGACGGCCCAAGACTTAGGAAGGTTAAATAACTTACCCAAGAGCACACAGCCACCCAGATACATGGTGAAGAAGACAGAAAGTTCCTGCCTTCAGAGCCCTTACAGATTAGTTGGGAAGAGAAACATTAAACGGATAATTTCACAAATATCCATTTTATTTTAATTGTGCTGTAAAGGAGTACAAGGGAAATATTGCATGACAGCATATCATAAGGGGACTTTACCCTATATAAGGAGAGGTGGGAGAAGAAGGTGGTCGAGAAGGCTTCCTGAAGAAGCATCATTTGAACTGAGCTCTGAAGTATGAGTAGAAGTTAGCTGGGCAAAGAGAGGGATGGAAGATGGAGGGAAAGAGTGACCCAGGTAGAGACCAGCATATACAGTACCGGCGTTTGCAGTGCAAGGCATGTTAAAGAAGAGAAAGAGAACAAAGGATGAGTTAGGGTACTTGCGGTTGGAAAGACAGGCAGGGACAGATCATGCAAGGTCCAATGGGCCATTTTAAGGACTCTGCTTTTTCTCTTAAGATCAAAGAGGCACAAGGGGCGCCTGGGTGGTTCAGGTGGTTAAGCATCTGCCTTGGGCTTGGGTGATGATCTCAGGGTCCTGGGGTTGAGCCCTGTGTTGGGCTCCCTGCTCAGTGGGGAGCCTGCTTCTCCCTCTCCCTCTGCCCCTTCCCCCCTCTTCATGTGCTCACACACTCTCTCTCTCTCAAATTAATAAATAAAATCTTAAAAAAAAAAATCAGAGAGGCACAAAAGGGTTTTAAACCAGGGAATGCCAGGATCAGATTTATGTTGGCTGGAGAATAAGAGCGGACACCAGGAAGCCAAACTGAAAGACTCTCCTCCAAGGTCCTACAGAAGCACTGCCTTCTCCCTGAAGCCTTCTGTGAACCCTGTTTCAGTATTGACCACATTTCCTCACCATCACCCGCTCAGTGCAGCCCACGTGATGCCAAGACTAATCACCTTTGTACCTTCAGCACCTACATAGCAGCTGCTCCTGCCCGGCCAGTGTTAGCTGAATAAAGGGTTGGTTGAGCCATCAGCCGAGAAACAGTAAGGCCAGTTTAATCCAAATCCACTTCCCTGAAAATCTTAAAAGTGAGTCACAGCTTGAGGGAAGACACAGTGTTAGAGCTGAGGATGCCAGATGGTCAGTGCCTTACTCTTCCTAGCAAATGGATTTTAATAAAATCAACATCTGCTCTGTGATAATTATTGCCCCACTATCTTTCCTCTGAAGACCTTTTCAGACAGTTTGAGTCTAATTACCAGCAACTACAGACAGTTTCATTCCTACCCTTTTTCATAGATGGTCAAATATGTTAGTAAACTACGTAAAATGAAACAAAACTCATGCTTTTCTCTGTCTGACTCCTTCCTTACAGACCATGTTGCTTTCCTGGGCTTGCCTCCAGGCTCCAACACTGGTAGCAGCTTCATGGTGTCCTATGCATAAGAAAGAAAGGTACTTTTTAGACATTTATGATTATCTTCCACCTAAAACAGAACAAATCAGGTCACTTTCTTCCTTAAAAACTTTCCTTTTGATGTGCCACTTTCTAGGGTCCGATTAATTTGAATAAGCATTACCAACGCTTTGATATAAACTTATATTTGGGACGCAAATATAACACAGCTTTATTAACACAATTATAGAAGTTTTTGGCTAAAGTTTTCTGTGTGTCTGTGATTTTCAATTAAAAAAATTTTCGGGGGGGTTGGTGCCTGGGTGGCTCAGTCGGTTAAGCGTCTGCCTTCCGCTCATGTCATGATCCCGGGGTCCTAGGATCGAGCCCCACATTGGGCTCCCTGCTCAGCAGGGTGTCTGCTTCTCCCTCTCCCTCTGCCTGCCGCTGCCCCTGCTTGTGCGCTCTCTCTCTCTCTCACTCTATGAAATAAATAAATAAAGTCTTTTTTTAAATATTTTATTTATTTATTCATGAGAGACAGAGGGAGAGGGAGGGAGAGAGAGAGAGAGAGAGAGAAGCAGAGGGAGAAGCAGGCTCCCAAGGAGCAGGGAGCCCGATGCGGGACTCGATCCCAGGACCCTGGGATCATGACCTGAGCCGAAGGCAGACGCTTAACCATCTGAGCCACCCAGGCACCCTAAATAAATAAAATCTTAAAAAAATTTTTTTTCAGGGGTCATAAAATGTTCACGTTCATCAAAAGATAAAATGTTTTATGTTTTATTTATTTTTTTAAGGTTTATTTTTTTTTTAAAGATTTTATTTATTTATTTGACAGACAGCGAGAGAGGGAACACAAGCAGGGGCAGAGGGAGAGGGAGAAGCAGACTCCCTGCTGAGCAGGGAGCAGGACATGGACCTCGATCCCAGGACCCTAGGATCATGACCTGAGCCGAAGGCAGACGCCTAACGACTGAGCTACCCAGGCGCTCCAGGTTTATTTCTTTTAGTAATCTCTACACCAAACATGGGGCTCGAACTCATGATCCGGAGATCAAGAGTTACATGTTCTTCCAGCTGAGCCAGCCAGGCACCCCAAAAGATAAAATATTTTATTTATTTTTTAAAGATTTATTTGTTGGAGGGGGCAGAAGGAGAAGGAGTCTCAAGCTGACTCAGCCTGGAGTCTGATGAGTGGGCTGGATCCTACCACTCCAGGTATCACCACCCCAGCTGGAAACCAAGAGTTGAAGGCTTAACGGACTGTGCCACCCAGGTACTCCAAAGAAAATATTTTAAAAGGCTGGGAAATACTGAACTCTGGGATAAGCCCCTGGCCTCAGCATGACATTGAAAGCCTTCTGGACTCAATCTTCTTCTCAGGAACTCAGCTCCACAGTTTCTTGCTATAGTGAGCTATTCTTGCTATATTTGTTGTTTCTAACATGGCAGGCCCTTTCATATCTTGCATCTTGTGCTACTTCCCCTACCTGAAATGTCCCTTCCCTTCTTGTCAACTAGGAAACTCCCAGTGAACCTCCAAAGCCCAGTTCAAATGTCCCCCGGCTTCTCAGTATAACCTTCCCTGATTTGTTGCTTTTCATTAACATCCTCAAGTTACTTCCTTCTCCCTCTGAAGGTTATCTATCAAGCCACCATCATTGCAGGGATCACCCTGAATGTAATTATCTATTTAAAGGTCTCTAGATTAGATTCTAGACTAAATTCCCACAGAGGTGGGCCTCTCAGATTCATTCAGAGAACCCACCAATGGGCTCAGCTTGGAGTAGAACTGAGGGATGAGTGAATGAAGAAAGAAAACGGGTGAGATTTCTGGGAGATAAATGGATAAAACAAACCTTTGGCCTAAGTCCCTGGCCGCGGTCCCCAAAACCCAGTGGGGTAAACTTCGCATGGGCGGGGACTTCCTACAGCCAGCGCTGCCAGTCCCAGCCCCCAGTCCCATCCCCGCGTGGCCCCGGTAGAGGACAGGAGTCAGGGTCGGGAGAGCACAGTCTGGTTCCTTTCCGTCAATGTGGCCGGACCAGAGTCCGATCACGCCCTCCCCACGGCTCTCCACCCGGCCCGGGGCCACTACCCTAAAGGATGCGACCGCCCCCGCCCAGAATAGCGTAAGACCCTCCGCCCGGAGAACCCCCGACCCGGACCGCATTACCTGCGGCAGCTTAGGACGGTCCCGGGCTGTGGCTCCGCCCCCAACGTGGGCGGGGCTTGGGCCTTCGCCCCTCCCCCAGACCCGGAAGAGGGCGGTGGCCAACCGCTCTCCGGCTCTCGACTCCCAGGACCCGGCCTCCAGCGCGCGCCCTTGGAACGGGAGCGGGAGAGCTCCTCGCGCCGCCCGCCCGGAGAGTCGGCCAGGCTGTGCGTGTCTCGGGAACCAAACCGGCCGGCCGTCCCTGGGGCCGGTCCTCCCAAGCGGAGTGAATAAGCCAGGGCTACTTGGAAACGATTTACAAGCGAAACGCCGGGGGTTGGGCGTCCACTTGGACGACCCCAATTCCTTCGGCAGCAGGACTAGGGAGGGTATTTTCAGTTCAGCGGCTGTTGGAAATGGTTTTTTGAAAGGGAGAGTTAAAGATGCTTTCCTGGGTGTGAAATCTCCCTGCGCGGTCCTAAGGCCACTTCAACCTTTGGCGCCTTAAACAGCTGACTCATTCCATAATTAGCGTTTGTGACTATGGCAAGGAACTATGCTGAACCAAATGTGGCCCCTGGCCTCCTGGAGTTTACAGTCTAACTTAGAGAGAGATTAAACAGAAAAACAACTAGGTACATTTGCAAAAAGTGCAAGGAATAAAAGTTCATCAGTGAGAGTATTCTTGGGAAAGTTACTTTTCTCTGGGCTTCAGTGTCACCCATCTGGAATATGGAGCTAATAAGATTTTGTCACAAGGTTATGGTGGGGAATACATGAGCTAATGAATATAAAGTGCTCAGAGTAGCACAGAGTTGGTCTTCTGTAGAGTGTAATGCTATTCCTAGCTATAAATGAAGTTTAGATACCAGTCCTGAGTTAGACTGCTCATTTGCCTTACCTCTGGTCTCCATAACCATAGGTTCCCTGCAGCTTTCCTGAAAATGGAGAGGTGGCTCACCTATGTCTGTGTTCCAGGAACCCCACAATCATTTGGGAAGACTGAGGCCAGTTGTTGTGTCTTAGGATATAGAAGAAAAAGCTAAGGAAAGAGACCACAGGAGCTCCTCAAGTATAGAGCCATGGTACCCTAGTGGGAACCAGACAGACATGCTTGGGTTCAAATCCAGGCTCCAGCACTAACCATGTAACCCTGACATTTGGCAAGTACATTAACTTCTCTGAGCCCCAGTTTCCTCATCTCTAGAATGGGGATAGTAATACCTTGAATACCAATTCTTGAAATTATAACAGGAATTTATTGACAAAGTGGAATTTGAGGTCTGCAGCTCTCCTCACTGCTCAGATATCCTCTTTCAAACACCTGGAGTCTTTATGAGTTCCCATATTAATGGAAAAATCTCCATTGCTGTTTGCCACAGAGGATTTTAGGAGTATTCAGTAATTCTGGGGGCGAGTGACTGGGTGGCTCAGTTGGTTAAATGTCTGCCTTCAGCTCAGGTTATGATCCCAGGATCCAGGGATCCAACCCTGTGTCAGGCTCCCTGCTAAGTGGGGAGCCTGCTTCTCCCTCTTCTCCCTGCTCATGCTCTCTCTTGCTATCTTTGTCTGTCTCTCTCAAATAAATAAAATCTTAAAAAAAAAAAAAAAGGAGTATGCAGTAATTCTGCTCTCCTTCAGGAAAGAAAATGAAGGCTAGGTTGGCTCTGCTGTATGTCCATGCACATCTAGGTGGAGATCTCTGCTCAGACCTGCAGAATACTCTGATGGACCCTGTGTCTTTTGGCTAGCTCCATTTCAAGATGCCAAACTGGAGTTGTACATAAGAAAGACTGGAAGAGGTTTGTGGGCAAAATAGTGACCAGTTTTCTTTGTAAGACCTATGCTTTATACTATAAATCACATTTCAGAAATTGCTGGAAGGAACTTTTGAGATCTATTTTAAAAATGGAAATGGTGGCCCAGAGAACTTAAAATGATTAACCTATATAAATGGCAGAACCAGGAGCCTAGATTTCCTCCTTTGCCCAAGGAAGACTAAGAATACATTCCAGTCAGCAAGTTCTGTACAGTTTCCAAAATAAATGACCAATGTGTCTATCACCTCTTCTAAGAGGTCACCCAACACTCTGAAGGATGCTTCCCTTATTTCTCTCTGCTGTGTATATCAAGAGTGAGGTTCACTGAATGAGATGGGGCCACAGAGGGGAGTTTACCAGATGGTTTGGTAATGTGAGGACTGCCACCTGTTTTCGCTGGAAGGGGATACCATCCACTTTCATTACCTACCTGTTGGTTCACTGACTTATCAGCAAGGGAAGTAATGATGCTGATGACCTCTCCCTTTCAAGCATATTATAATTTGTAAAGAACAGTCATGTCCATCTCCTTACTTGCCTTCCTTCCCAGTTCTGAGAAGGTATCTTGAGTAGGATTAATTTCCAGTTACTGAGGTTCAAAGCTGAAAAGTGAATTGCCACCTTTCTAAAGAGGACTGTAATACTAATCTTAAAAAGTCAAAAACAATAGCATCTTTTCCTCATTTGGAACTTTTTCTCCAAGAAATTTTGAACATGTCATCCTTATACTTTTTTCCCCTAAAATCTTAAATGTTACCTCTTCAGAAAGGCCTTTCCTGTCCGCATAATACTAAGAGCTAACATTCACATTGTACTCACTTTGTACATGATATCGTTTAAGCCCTTTCTATATACTAACTCTATTAAACCTCAGTACAAGCCTCTAAGGTAAGTGTTATTCTTATCATCTGCATACAATATGATGACAGTTGTTATCTCCATATAGAAGCTGAGAAAACTGGAGCACAGAAAGGATAAATAACTTTGCCAAAGTCACACTATGGGTAATAGAGCCTGGACTTGAACTCTGGCCATCTAGTGCTAGAGTTTGCACTTTACCTCTACTATATTGCCATCCTAACGTAGGGCCTCTTCCACTCCATTTTTCTTATAGTACCCCTCTTTCCCTTTTAGGCACTAATCACACTTTGCAGTTAGGATTTGCTCATTTATATGTATTTTGTTTGTCTCTGTCAGATTGTAAGCTCCATGAGGACAAGGATCATATCTGTCTCATTCACATTGTAAGTGCTATATAACTATTTGTTGAATAAATGAAGAAATGTACGCTGTGGGCATCATTAATTCTGCAGCAAACTTTTCAAAATTAATTTTAGGGGTGCCTGGCTGGCTCAGTCTATAGAGCATCTGATTCTTGATCTTGGGGTTGTGGGTTCAAGCCCCATGTTGGGTGTAGAGATCACTTAAAACTAAAATCTTCAAACAAAATTTAAAAAATTAATTTTGGGGTGCCTGGGTGGCTCAGTCGGTTGGGAGTCTCACTCTTGATTTCTGCTGTGGTCGTGATCTCAGGGTCGTGAGATTGAGATTTTAAAGATTTTATTTATGAGACTAAAAGATTTTAGAGTAATCTCCACACCCAATGTGGTGCTCGAACTCACAACCCAGAGATCACGAGTCGCATGCTCCACTGACTGAGCCAGCCAGGCACCCCCCAAAATGCACTTTAGAGCAAGAGGATCGAGGCCAGGGTCACTTGAACAACAAATATTATTAAGCACTTGCTACTATTGGATTATATAAGTCTCCTGACTGGTCTCTCATCTGCAACCATTACCTAATAGTCTCACACAGCAGCCAGAGTGATCCTTTTTAAAATGAGTTACACAAGTTACTCCTCTGCTCAAAACCCTGTGGTAACTCCCCATTAGATTAAAAGTAAAGACATTCTTTTCTCTCATCCCTTCTCCTCTTGCTCCAGTCACACTAATCTTGCCATTTCCAAGATTCCATTTAGATATGCTTCCATTTTAGGGCCTCTGTGTCAGCCTCTTCCCTCTGATTGCCCTCAAGCATCTGAATGGCTAACTCCCCTACCTCTGTATTGGTTCTTAGAAAGCATCACACCATCTCCCTTACACCGCTGCTTTTTTCCTTCTCTCTAGCACTTACCACTTCCTAACATGCTATACAGTTATTATTTTATGTTCTGCCTCTTCTTCTAGAATGTAGTTACAGATTGAAGATAGGGATCTTTGTTTATTTTGCTTGCTAAATATCCTAAGTGCCTACAACTGTACCTGGCATACAGTTGGTGTTCAATAAATAGCTGTTAAATGAATGACTGTTGAAGTTATACTGACAGGTCCTGTTTTTTTGTTTTTTTGTTTTTTTGCACTGGGGGTAGAACAAAACACTCCCTGCCCTCATGAGACTCACACTGAAGCATATTTAAACCAGGTAGACCCATGTTCTGGTCTCTGCTCCCTTGCCTAGTTCCTGTGAGTTACGGGGCAAGTTACTTAACCTCTCTGAACCTTGCTTTCCTATCAACTGTTATAAGGATTAAACGGAAAAACAGCATTTATGTAGCATTTAGCATAAGAAACCCTTAATCATTGCGTCCTTTCCTTCCGGGGCTGCAAGATTGGTAGTCTGATGTCTCTGCCACAAGCTTAAGCAAGGTTTTCACAAGGACTTGAAAAGGTGCGAACAGGTTAACTACGGCCAGGCTTACTCAATTTTTAACTGAAGATGTTCTGGTGAGAGAATGCTTAAAAGGGTCGAAGTGAGAAACCAAGAAATGGCTAGGGTCATCTACTTTGTTTTTTTGCATCGGAAAAGCCTCGCTGGGCCCACAGAAGTGAAAGTCTAAAAGGAAGGGAAGGGGAGAAAAAGGGGGGGGGGGGGTAACTGGCCACTACTGAAAACTACAAATCCCAGTACTCCCCGCGGCAGAAAACTACGGGTCCCAGCAGGTTTCACTGTCTGGACCAGGGGTGCCTCTAGGGACCCGCAGCTTGAGTTCAGCGGGAGAGAACGTGGGGCGTGCGAAGGCAGCGGGGAGAATCGGGTCAAGTTTTACGCCGCTGCGCAGACGCCTCTCACGGGCCGGACGTGACGTAGGAAGAGTTCCGGCTTCGGCCTCCGCCGCTGCCGCCGCCGCTACTAGAGCCGCCGCCGCTGCCGCCGAAGCCGTCGGGGCTTGTTATTTCTAAAATGGCGCCCCTAGACTTGGACAAGTATGTGGAGATAGCGCGGCTGTGCAAGTACCTACCGGAAAACGACCTGAAGGTGAGCCGGGCCGGGGCGGGAGCGCTGTTTGCGGGGCTTGCCCCTTCCGGCAGTGGGGCGCCCGCCGGCCCGCCCTTCCTCTCTGCGCCGGACCCCCGCCGGCATCCCGTCCGGTCCGGTCCTGGTGGTGGGCCTAACGCGGGGCGAAGCGACCCGGTCCGACCAGGCGTGACGCGGAGAGCGGGGAGAGCTCGAGTCCCCCGAATGCCGTCCCGGTTCCCTCCGTGGGGTCCCCAGGGATGTCGCGGCCTCTGCCCCAGGGTTGCCCCTCCTGGCCTTCGGGCTACCCCAGGGTTCCGAGCCCTGACAGCTTTGCGTGGACGACTCCTCTCCGCTCACCCCGACCCCGGTCTCCCGGAGGCCGGCCGAGCCCCAGCGGACAGTGCCCTCGGGATGGGGTCATCCCCCAGAGGTGGTGACAGGAGGTCTGGGTGGCCGGCGTCTGACAGGTGATGCCGCCAGCTCCCGGAACGCGGCCCCAGTGTGTTTAGGTTTCTGCGGAAGGGCAAGACGGTGGGCCAGAGCGGTCTGGTGGTGATGTCAGAGAACGTCTGGTCGTCCTTCTTTCCGTATCCCTTGTCTCAATTGCTTGTTAGGAGTGTTGCTTTAGTTCTGTTAATTCAGATATGAACCCATTTTCCAGTACGTTGTTGCGCTAATTTCAGTGGGTAAAGTAGTAGGGCCTCAATACAAATGCTTTTATGCCTCTTAAGTTGTTTCCTCATAATCCCTTCTTGACTGAAGATTTCCTTTTCTTGGTTTCCCAGAGGAGATGAGTTGTTCGTTGCTACTGCCTAGTGCAGGTAACAGTAAATGTATGTGTGGGTAAAGAAATGAATGTAAGAGAGAAAGAATGTAAGTTTTTGGTATATTGCTTTTCTGAGAAGTGTTTTCATGCACAGCGCTTAGGTGTCTGACCGTGCTCAGCGGTTAGTGCTAGTGCCTGTTTTTTTCAGTTAACTTTGATTTGCTGTGTGGTAAGTGGGTAAACTTGGTAGTTTTGAATTGTTGTTTTTTCTTTAGTCTGTGGAAGCAATTTATCTTTGTAAATTTCTCTTAAGGAAGAGATGACTGGTTTTTTCTTTTGCTCTGTTCATACAGGAAGTTGATATTTAACATCAGTCAACAAGTATGCAAAATGTTGAAGGTCACACCAGCTCTCATGGATGTAACTTCATTGTACTTACATGTTAATTATATGTGCCATATGATAGGGGAGTCATTCTTGTGCATTTCCCCCTTTTATTTATTTTAAGATTTTATTTATTTATTTATTTGACAGAGATACAGCGAGAGAGGGAACACAAGCAAGGGGAGTGGGAGAGGGAGAAGCAGGCCTGCCGCCACGCAGGGAGCCCAGTGTGGGGCTCGATTTCAGGACCCAGGGATCATGACCTGAGCTGAAGGCAGACGCCTAACGACTGAGCCACCCAGGCGCCCTGCATTTTCCCCTTTTAAATAGGATACTTTGATTAAAATGAGGACAAAGCCAATAGTAGCAATGTAGCTTTTATTTATGTTCATCTGAGTCCCTCAGACATTTTGTGGCTTCCTTCTGTTTAAATGCTTTTTTTTTAAAGATTTTATTTATTTATTTGAGAGAGAGAGAGAGTGGGAGATAGAGAGCACGAGAGGGAAGAGGGTCAGAGGGAGAAGCAGACTCCCTGCTGAGCAGGGAGCGCGATGCGGGACTCGATCCCGAGACTCCAGGATCATGACCTGAGCCCAAGGCAGTCACTTAACCAACTGAGCCACCCAGGCGCCCCTGTTTAAATGCTTTTTTAAGGAACTGAGGATACAACCAACATTGGGACCTAATTCATGGAAAACTAACCAGATATCTTTTGGTAGCATTGTTAATTCCATAGATCAAGTTGATTTTCTCGTATCAGTGATTTGATGTGGAATTTTCTGTTTTTTTAGCATGTGTAAATTTGAGCTTTGTATTTTTAATGAATAAAATGTTGCTTATTATTACAGTGTGTTTTGATACTAACTTGCGATTGGCTATATGATTTGGAAGATAATCAATTGGATTTTCTTTAGATCTTTTAGTTTGATAAACATTGGATTTCCGGGCGCCTGGGTGGCTCAGTTGGTGCAGCGACTGCCTTAGGCTCAGGTCATGATCCTGGAGTCCCGGGATCGAGTCCCGCATCGGGCTCCCTGCTCGGCGGGGAGTCTGCTTCTCCCTCTGACCCTCTTCCCTCGCATGCTCTCTCTCATTCTCTCTCTCTCAAATAAATAAAATCTTAAAAAACAAAACAAACAAAAAAAACATTGGATTTCCTTCCCACCTTAAGGAAATAGAGGTATTAAACTATTTCATTTCCCTTTGCAAACCTATTGGGCTGTACTTAGTGTATATCTGTTTCTTAATAAACTTTTTTTCAATCTTCTAGACAACTACCGGGAAAAAATAATTATGAATTCTTCTCTATAAGTGGAGGCTTTTCTTTGTTTTGGAAGTGGTTTTATCGGATGAATTCAGTTGTGCTGTTCATGTCTGGTGTATTTTAAAAGAAATTTAATTTTGTTTCTACTTCTTGGCATGAAATGGAAACTAAAATTAGACAAGCCAAGAAAGTATTCCAGGAGCACCTTTTCTGAGGCTGTAGAGCCAAAATAAAAGATTAGAGGAAGAAAAATCGTTGGAGCCACTTAATGGTCATTATGGAAAAGATTTGTTCTGGTAGAAAAGAAGACAGCAATTCACCTGTGTGTTTAATTTGACTAGAAGTTGGAGGTACTAAATAAAATAATAAGTGCATAGGATGTTCTACATCTAATTATGATTTCTCTATATCTAAATTGGAAATGGTCAGATCATTAGTACTAGATTGAATCTGCATAACTGTTTTGTAGGAATAAAGATGAAATATATGAAAGTGAGTGGGCCAAAACAAAACGTTTCTTAAAGAGCTCAAGTGGTTCTCATCCACAATAAAGATTTCAGAGAGGGTAATAGGAGATAGAGATTCCATATCTGGCCAAGTGGAAGAATGAATGGTAAAAGGCGGGTGTTTTGAATACTTAAAAATTTCAGAGGAGGAAGGGTTCTATAACTTGGGGATTGTTTGATCTCTTGGACAGTTCTTAAAGGTGACATGTAGGTAAAGAGATTGCATAAGGAATTGTGCAATTCCATAATAACCACTTTTATGAATTAATGGTTAATGTAATCTTTTTGGAACTCACTTTTATGTTTAGTCTGAGCCATCTCTGACTTCTTCACATAAGCCTACTTGCTCAGCAAAGTTATACCTTTATTTGAAATGCCTCCATAAAGCTTCAAAAAATTCTCCTTTGCTTTTTTCTGAGATTTAGTGAATAGCTTTTTGCACCTCCTCATTCCAGACCCTGATTTTATAGATTCTCATCATATATGGTAGTCTTTATCCTTCCGGACTTGCAATCCGTTAGTCTAGTCACTCATCTTAGTGCTTGTTTCATTGATCGTTCTGTTTACCCAAGTTGTTTGGTTTTTTGTTGTATCTTTTTCAGGTACTGCAAGGAAAACCGAACACAGTGTGGTAGTTAGGGACATACTAGGGCATTATATAAGGCTGGAAGAGTGTTGTGTTTCCAAGACCCTTTCTGATAATACTGGTATTTTGTTTGTCTTTTGGGCCACAGAATCACATTCCCCTATGTTTTATGAAAACAGTCTACAACAGTGCCGTCTGGTAGAAATAAAATGCTCAGAAACATGAGCCTTGAATGGTCACATTTTAAAAAAATAGAAAGGAACAGTTGAAATTAATCTTAGTAATATTTAACCCAATTGCAACATGTAATCAATATAAAATTATTAATGTAATATTTTGCACTTTTTTGGGTACTCTGTGAAATGTGTATATTTTACATTTATGACACATCCCAATTTGTTTTTTTTTTTTTTTTTTAAGATTTTATTTATTTATTTGACAGAGAGAGAGACAGCAAGAGAGGGAACACAAGCAGGGGGAGCGGGAGAGGGAGAAGCAGGCTTCCCACGGAGCAGGGAGCCCGATGCAGGGCTCGATCCCAGGACCCTGAGATCATGACCTGAGCCGAAGGCAGACGCTCAATGACTGAGCCACCCAGGCGCCCCTGACACATCCCAATTTGGACTAGCCACATTTCAGATGCTCAGTAGTTACGTGTGGCTGTGGGTGTTCTATGGGAAGGTGCACATCTCTAATGACTCCCTAGCCCTTTTCTAGAATTTCAGAGCTAAGAGAGAATCAGAGTTCTTCTAGTTCCATACCTTTCTTACTTTACTGAGGGTATACTGAACTTCATAGAGTTTATGATCTGCCTGAGGATGTGCACCTAATCAATGAATAAAGTTGGAAATCTTCCTGTGCAGAACTCTTAATGATACAGTTAATAGCTTTTTTTTTTTTAGGATGACAAATAGCATGCTTTTCTAGGTACATCTTCCACTTCATCATGTTTCTTTTTTTTTTTTTCCAACAAGTTTCTTTTTACCTTCCATTCTAAGTACATTGGACTGCTCTCTTCTGACAACATGCCCTGTACTTTCTCCATCTTTGTTTCTTGCTCCGTTTGTTTCTGTCACCTAGTATTTTTTTTTTTTAATTTTATTTATTTATTTGGCAGAGAGAGGGAACACAAGCAGGGGGAGTGGGAGAGGGAGAAGCAGGCTTCCCGCTGAGCGGGGAGCCCGATGCGGGGCTCGATCCCAGGACCCTGGGATCATGACCTGAGCTGAAGGCAGATGCTTAATGCTTAACGACTGAGCCACCCAGGCGCCTCTGTCACCTAGTATTTTTAATACTTACATAGCACAAATAAATCATTTAATAATCTATGAGTTGGCTACTAATATTTGCCCCATTTGGTAGATAGGTAACTGAAGCACAGACAGATTATAAGTATCTTTACATGGTTATACAGGTAGTAAGTAAGTGGAGGAGCTGGGATTCAAACTTAGGTAATCTGGGTCCAGGGTTCACATCTATAACTACCATTTGTGTTTCCTCTATACAATACCC